GTGCGAAGAGTGCAGTGTGCAGTGTGAGGTGTGGAGTGTGGAGTGTCGAGGGAAGGACACGGTCGGGACAGGGTGTCTTTGAACTATAGGTCATTTATGTTTGGGAAACTTCCGCCGCCGGCTTGCCCGGGTCTATGTTACATTATAATACTGTCATGCAGTCCAATTTTTCGGAGAAATTCCCAGAGGGATTTGCGGCGGTGTCTTTCAACTCTACCTTCGCGAAGCTCTCGCGCCGCTTGCGCAAGGTGGATTTTAGCTTCTGCGAATACTACGCAAATTAAAGCCGTGTATGCCCGTGTTTTGCCCTTCAAGTAAGGGTTTTGAATGCTCAATTAGGTCCGTCCTTGGGTGGTTCATGGGATACAAAACAGAGAAGTGTGAAACAACAAGCTGTTGGTGCTCGCATTTCTTCATCCCCCACGTCTAGATGCGCCTAACTGGAAGAGCTTAGCTTGCTTCACTTTCTCTCTGCTGTTCAATGTCTTACCTTTTAGGCCAATTTGGTACAGTAAGATCAGTAAGCTGCCTGTCCATATCTGGTTGTTTCTGCCCTGTCCAAAGCAACCTCAGCAAAGCCACTTCAGACTTGGCAGCTGGGCAAAGAACTTTGGTGAAGCATCAGCATTCCAGCAATCCGAGCCATGCAAGCTCATCTAAGCTCCCTACCCATGCTTCATTCACTTTCACGCTGTTCAAACTAACCTTGGTCTTTCAAGTAGATGTTGCCGAATCACCTCTCATTTATATATATATATTTATTTATTTCTAGGTTTGGCATGCATTGTTCCCAATTTAATGATAGGCAGTACAAGCTCAGTTGTCAGGTCACTCTCCCAACTCCCAAAGAATCCAGACAGGCTGAGTTGGTTCACTTCATCCATCCGTCAAATGCTGGCAGAGGGACGGTGAGCCATGGTTGTGAGTTCGATGGCAGACCATTTTCATTGTTTACGGTCTGAATGCTGCTGAGGAAAGCCGGTGGGGCTGGAAACTGATGGGCAAAGGAGATCTTCTCCCACGAGATCGCGGGGAGGCCTCGGCAAGGTGCAGCGTGAAGTGAAAACATTGTGGACAATCGGCAAACAGAAAGAAGCCAGCACGATCGTACACACATAAAGATACATAAAGGACAATCTCATACAATCTCATTGATTCGCTATTGACCGAAGTTTGTTGGTTTCAAGCCGGCAAGCCTTCAAAACTCAGTGTTGCAGCTCCGCGCAGAAGCCAACCTAAAAATCCCCTGCGCCTGAACCTAAGCACTTCGTGGAATACGCCAATTTTTGCGTTGAAATTGTACCAGCCTCCATCCAAAGTCCTGGAATGGACTGTGTCACGGGGCACCATTTTAGGGGCCTGACCGTTGAGTAAAAGGGATGGGGATGGATGGGGCATTCTGATCTGCAAATCCAAGGGATTTCCGCTTTTGCAGGCTGGACGGGTCTATCCTGTAATTTGTGAAGTCGCAGCCTTATGCTCGTTGTCACTGACTTGCAGATTTCTTGATTTTCACAAGGTTCTGTGCCTGCCTGCTTGGGTTAGGTGGGAGCGCAGGTGCCAGTTTCTGAATGCACCGACACTTTGCTTGCAGTAGCAAAAAAGAGCCGCGAAGGTGCTAGCGCCATTCAAGTGCTGCATATGTTGGACCAGCTGCATTGTGTGTTCTCTACTTCACATATGGTTATTGTTTTTATGTAACCACAGTACACATGGCTGTGGCTGTGTCATATCATCAAGAGTGTCGATCTGTGAAAACCCGACGAAGCCATTTGTTTGCCAGTTTTGCTTGCTCTTGACGGGCAATTGTCCCACTTTTGTTGGTTAGTTTTGTCATGTTTGTTCTGTTTGCTGCTATTTCGGGATACTTTGTCTATTTATGTCTACTAAGAAAATCTGCATGGCAAAGATCAATATTGGATAACCTGACCAAATTTTCTACTGGTTAGCCAATTTTGGACATCTGCAAATATTGGATCACCTACATGGCTCCTCCGAGTTGGCGCACGCCCGGCGCAGCTGCAAGGAAAGTCACCTGCCATTGGAAAACGGCATCCATTTGAGACCGCCGACCAAATCAATCAAATGCGGATCGGCCCCAAAGCCATGCTGTACTCAATTGGGCCTTTACCACCTGCGGTTGGGGAACTGAGTGTCATACGCGGTCAACTCCAAGACATTCAGCCGAGACTCTGTCATGGCGCTGTTACCCACAGCTTTGTTTGGTGGTTTGGCAACAATTGCTGAGAAACCAGTGGTAGTGATGTCCTTTAAGCGAATGGATGCTGGATCCGTGGTTCCTGCCGGAAGGCCAAAGGTCACCCAAAAAAACAAGTCTCCTATACGTGTCTTCTATACGTTCAAGCACACTACAACTGGCATGTGTCCAATGTGTCCACATGGATCCACATGGGCCTGTCTCGGTTGGAGTCACAACCACCACTGGAACTGCTGCGAAAGGCGTCGTGAAAGCAATGCTGACCCATGCCGATGTGCTAAGGGTGACCTCGCGGGTTTCCAGGCAATTGCCCGAACATCCAATGGCGGTTGTCGTTGTCGTAGTTGTCGTCGTCGTAGTTGTAGTTGTAGTCGTTGTGGTTGTGGTTGTTGTTGTGGCTGTCGTTGTCGTTGTGGTCGTTGTGGTCGTTGTGGTCGTTGTGGTCGTTGTGGTCGTTGTGGTCGTTGTGGTCGTTGTGGTCGTGTGGTCGTTGTGGTCGTGTGGTCGTGTGGTCGTTGTGGTCGTTGTCGTTGTAGTCGTTGCAGTTGTTGAAGGGCCTGGTGCTCTGCATCGATATGCGTCCAAGGCTTGCTTGATGTCCCCTGCAGACAAGGCATTGCGTTGCCCGACGAGGCTCTGGGCAGACGATGGAATGGTGTTGAAGTACCAGCCTCATGGAGAGCTCTGCACGATAAATGAATGCCAATTCCCTGACGCCGGGTTCTTCAAAAAACAGAGCTGCCCAGCAACAATTCATGATCCGGGTCCAAATAACCCCTGTGCTTCAAGGTTACCGGCTCAAGTTCTCAAGCCGAACAACAATGCGGGATTATGACTGTCAAGTACAGTAAGTGACAACCTGGTTTTGGCGCCTGTTTTTCCCAAATTCTGAGGCAGTTCTGCTTACCAAAAACGGCCCACTTATAGTTGTCATTTATCCCAGAAGTTCAGTGAAGCAACCACTGTGCATCTTACCCATTTAAAGTTTGAGAATAGGTCGAAGACAGCACGCCCTGATTCCTCTAATCATTCGCTTTACCTGATAAAACTGTTCAACTCCAGTTATCCTGAGGGAAACTTCGGAAGGAACCAGCTACTAGATGGTTCGATTAGTCCTTCGCCCCCATACCCACGTACGACGAACGATTTGCACGTCAGTACCCGAGGGTTTCTAAAGTTTTTGTCATCTATGTTCCTCCTTCTCTTCCTTCCTCCTTCTCCTCGTGGTTTCTCTGGAGAGGGTAAAAACACCGCGTTCAAGCTGCGTTCAGCCCACGCGGTGCACGGATCTGGATCTGGTGCTTCACCAGCCAGCATCCAACATCTCTAATGCGATTGAGCGACCGTCGTTGATAGTGTGGTCGGCATTTCGCTGTCGAAAGTAGTGCATAATGCTCTCCTTCAGACAAATTACTTTACTTCGTGTGATCCCCACCATGACATTTATACATTTTCTTACTGGCAAATCTTCTGGCATTCTATCTGACATATCTTCTGACATTCTATTTGGCATTCTATCTGGCATATCTTCTGGCATATGATCTGGCATATCTTCTGGCATATCTTCTGGCATTCTATCTGGCAAATCTTCTGGCATTCTATCTGGCATATCTTCTGGCATTCTATCTGACATATCTTCTGGCATTCTATCTGGCATATCTTCTGGCATATATACATATCTGGCATTCTGATATCTTCTGGCATTCTATCTGACATATCTTCTGGCATATATTCTGACATATCTTCTGGCATATCTTCTGGCATATCTATCTGGCATATCTTCTGGCATATCTGGCATTCTATCTGGCAAATCTTCTGGCATTCTATCTGGCATATCTTCTGGCATATTATCTGGCATTCTATCTGGCATATCTTCTGGCATATATTCTGACATATCTTCTGGCATTCTATCTGGCATTCTATTTGGCATTCTATCTGGCATATCTTCTGGCATATCTTCTGACATTCTTTCTGACATTCTTTCTAACTTTCTTCTGCACATTCTTTGTCCCATATCTTCCTACATGAGGTCCGGCAGGGAACACTTGGCGTGGATACTCGCGGTTGAGGTCCGGCAGGGAACACTGGGCGTGGATGGTCGTGGTTGAGGTCCGGCAGGGAACACTGGGGCGGGATGGGTCGGTTGAAGGTCCGCAGGGAACACGCTGGCCGGAGAGTCGTGTGGTGAGGTCGTCAAGAGAACACTGTGGATCGCGGGTCGCAGTTGGACGAGGACGACGAGGACGACGAGGACGACGAGGACGACGAGGACGACAAGGACGACAAGGATGACAAGGAGGACGAGGAGGAGAGGAGGAGGAGGACGAGGCAGGAGGCAGGAGGAGGCAACTGACATAAAATCTAACAACCCTCACCTGGCAGGTGGGGAAAAAACACTTGGAAGACTCTGCTGCCCCATGGTCCAAAATATAAGGTACTCGCAAATTCAAACAACCATGGAAATATCCACAGTTTATAATCTTATACATAGCCTTCTTTCCAAACCACGCAAAGACCATAATTTGAAATTGTCGCACTTGCGCTGGTCTGGGATTTCTGTTTTGACGAGTATCAAAGTCATACGGAGCATAGCCAATTTGAGGGTCGTCTCCACCATCATGTGCAGAACCGATGTAGGTATTGACGGCAGGGGTGTACTGACTTCCCCATGACTCAGTGTTCTGCCAAAACATCTCAAGGTGTGGTCCCTTGCCATGATATTGTTGCGACCCATCAGCACGCTTTTGCTCATGGTTGACGCCCAAACCTCAGATCTGGATCTCAAAAGCACCAAAACCCAGTCGAATTGACGAAGTGTGGATCAAGCACAAACCTGAAGCCATAGATAGAATATATATATATATAATATATATATATATACACATTGCATGCAGTATATACATGTACACATAACAAATTGTACATACAAAATCATACAAATATCATCAACCATCGTCAAACTTGGGCCACACTTCGAGCAAAGTTGACGCCAAAGGGTCCCAAGTTGCCCCATGGCACGAACATGACCTCAACCTCAACTCTCGTGCCCGTCGTGTAGCTTCAATTTAGGGTCCCTTTGGGCCCAACTTCATCCCAACTCTACCACTTGGCCCCAAATTGGGCTCAAGTTGGGCTCAAGACAGGAGTAACTTGGACCCAAGTTGGGCCAAGTTGGGCCCGAAATGACAACACTATGATATCTGGCCGGAAACCATGAAAAAACTTACCCCGGGAGGACTACAAAAAAACAACTTAGCGAACTTAGCAAATATATTTAGCCTACTTAGTTATCTAGCCAAAGTACACTTAGCTAAGTAGCTTAAGTTCACCGCATGTAGTTATATCTTACATGGTGAACTTAGAAAAAATAACTTAGATAAACTTATATCTACAATTTAACGGGCCAATTTTGCGGATTCAACGCGACACGCTGAAAATTTGCATTTTTGCCGCCAACGTTTTTTTCGCTTTGCTGGGGGCTTGTGCTCAATGGGGGTCAAGTTGGCGCCAACTGGCCCGAGTTCGGCGCAAGTTGTTCCAATTGGGCCCAAGTTGGCTCGTGTTCGAAGGCCAACGACGGCCAAGTTTGACCCCAGTTGGCTTTGGTTGGGCCAAGTAGGCAGCTTCTTTCCTCTCTGGCCTATTCCCTGGGTGCGGGCACTACTCGTCGCGAAGCGACTCGAATTAATTTTCAATCATCAACCATCGTCAAACCACATCTTCCAGTTCTTCAACCCAGGCACCATGGCCAAGTTCATGGACCATTGATCCTTTGTGGCTCATGGTTTTGCACCATCCCAGGTTGATCTTGTGGAAAGTCGAAGGTCGTCCCAAGTAGGCCCAACAGCTTCCTTCAGCATAGATGCCCACCAGGATGTAAGGATATTCCTGAGATTTCTGGCAGTTTTTCATCTGAAAACTGGAAAACAATGTGAATCCCCCCGACTTCTGAAATTTCAGAACTCTACCTTGAAAATTGATGTAGATTGGTCAAACGATGTGCTTCTTTCGAGTAACAGTGACATGTCTTTTCTTGAATGGCCAACAATATTGCATCCGCAATGTTTCATGCAGTGTAGAACATGAATCAGCTGCGGGCCTTCTTGTTTGCCCTACACTGTTACCGATGTGAACTGATATTTGTTCATGTTGAAAGTCTGTGACTCATCCCCCATCTTTGGACGACTCGGACGACAAGTTTCTGCGTTATCATCCTCCACCACTGCGATGCAGGTGTGCGTGCGCCAGTCTGCTGCTGCTGCACGGAAAGCTTCCTTGCGAGTGTCATCAACACCAACATCAAACTTGTAGCGCACCATGACATACCTCGGACACGGACAGTTAGCACCAGAAAAATCTAAGATTCGACAAGTGGATCTAAAACGAGCGCTTGAAGCCTTCAGTTGAACCACATGCCAAGTTAAAATTTCTAAAATGCTCATCCCTGGCCTGCATCGAATGCTCCCTTGGAGGTAATCTTAGGAGACGATCAATAAGACCCCCCTCAGTAATGTAAAGGTTTGGGCGGACCTAGATTTTTCTGTCGTATGCGTTTTCAATTGCTCCTAATTTACTTTGAGTTTTCGGTCATGTTGTTGGTCGTGAAAAAAAACCTCGGTCCTTCGTGTCTTTAGATTTCCCGGTCATGTGCTTCCATTTTAAATATATTCCTTATCTATTCTGCTTGGCTCCAGTTGAACCTCTGAAACCAGTTTGAAACCAGTTTGAAACCCTAAAAATCACACTTGGAGAGCATCCATCCATCGAAGCACCATTTGAAACTTGTTTCAAACCTGTTTCAAAAACCCATTTGGGGGCCTTGTCAACCTGGTAAATGAATGGGAAAGCTAACTGGTGCCAATTACGTCCGTAAGCAGAGCCACAAATGCGGCTCCAGTTACAAGTTTCCTTTCTTGTAGGGTTTTCCCGCTAAAACCTCCATTGACCAAGGATTTTACCACTAAATCCACTTACAAGGGGATTTTCCCATTAAAACCTCCATTTGAAACTGATTTTCAGTGTCGATGGCCAAGTGCCTATCGACATGTTGATTTTTGCAAGTGCTTGTTCACTTTTGCTGCTTCTCGATGGCCAAGCGCCCTATTCGTTTCCCAGATCAAACGGTTGACAAGGCACCCAGTTACGGATGTTTGAAACCAGTTTGCAACCGGTTTGAAACCATAGAAAGCATCCATCCAAGGGCCATTTGGGATCTTTCGAGTACCCTTTTTGAAGGAAACGGATAGAAAACCTACCTGGAGCCAATTACGTCTGTAACTGGAGCCGCATACGGGCGTAATTGGCTCCAGTTCGATTTCCTACTCATTTCCCCAGATCAAATGATTGACACGTGGGTCGGAAAACTCTACCTTCGAAACAGTCTTGTGAAGATTCTAAAAAATATCACCGGAAATCTTATAAATTATAAACTTTTCCGGGGATATCTCAGCAGCTATTTAGTTCTTCATGAAGAAGTATCTTACTTGGTTCCAACTACTACAGAAGACAGGGAAAAATAGAAACATGTTTCCCTATCATCCGTCCTTTTCAATCATTTGTTTTCTTTCTTTCTTAGGCTGACTTTGCTTTTCCAATATTTGTTTTCTCCTTCTGGGCTGAAAAAAGTGGTCTGAAACAGGTCTGAAACTAGGAAGGACAAGGAATTGCAAGATCATCCGCGGTGTCCAAACCGCTTTCATTCAATGAGACGAATACTGCTCCATGTTCGAATTGAAATCAAATTTGGTGTCAATTAAAGTTGGGTCAGGTGTAATTTAAAGCGAAGTGAAATCTGGTCTAAATATTGTTCAAAATGTCAAATAGAAAGCCAAAAGCAAATGAAATGACCAGAAATATAGTCTAAATAGTTTCCAAACAAACCAAAAGCAAATGAAATTACCAGGAATATCCAGGATTTTAGTCTAAATATATCTTCAAACTGGTAAACAGAAAGCCAAAAGCAAATGAAATGACAAGAAATTTAGTCTGAATATGTCTATGTTTTCACAATGGTATATAATAGAAAACCAAACGCAAATGAAATGACCACAACCCGTTTGAAACTGAAATCCTGAAAGATTTCTAATTGCGGGGACGCTTTATATTATTGTGACGGGGGATGCCCCCCTTATTAATCACCTCTAAGATTATTCTATCCACTGTTGGTCGAGACAGGTCTTTGCAATGTGCAAATCCACATGGAAGGCGGAAGGATGCAAAAAGTAAGAAAGTCCGAGGTCCAATGCAGCGAGGGATTGTGTTTATCCGCTCTGCACACCACGCGAAGTAGCGGATGGATGGCACTGTGATTCCACAAGGAAACTTTTGCAATCGAATTGGGGTCTAAGGATCTAGATCATGGGTCATAGATCATCAAAATTTAAGTTTGATTTAATGGGTAATTCCCTTTCACCCCTTCATGCTCTTGGTAAGTTTCCTGAAATTAATAGAAACTATCTGCCAGCAGTTGTTTTCACAATTTTCAAGGTGTTCCCCCTATTATTTCAATATAAAATTTACTACAATTTTACTATTGACCTTAAATGGCGAACTGGATTGAAATGGAGGTCTTGGACCTCAACAATAAAAGAGGCCATGTGTTTGAGGCTTTAAATCAGGTTGCTACAAAATGAATGTGAAACTATATGTACAGTTCTTTAGTATATAGACACTTTGGTCCTGATTAGGGTGTCTCTTCAGGCAGCAAATTGTGCTTCACCTTGGCTGAATATAATTTCAAAGGAAGGCGCTTATCAGGAAATGCGGCGCTACAGATTGGACATGATTGGACAATTGACTTCTTAGTGAAGGAATTTGATTCTTATTAATATTATTAGGAACCTCTTCGGCGAGCACATGTTGCTTTACCTTCGTATGTCGATCTTGTTGATTAACTTTGCATGGTTTTGGTCCAAGTGCTGCTTTCAGATTCCAGGTCCGGGTGTGCGCGGACATCTCCTGTATAACAAACGTCGCACTTGTACAAATTACAATTATTTTTTCTTTGCCTAGTTTTAACATGCTTTAACATGTTTTTGACTATTTGGGTGGATTTGAGCATTAATTAGGGGGGCGGGGGAAGGGAATACTTAAACTAAACCCTTTTTTCATGGAGCTTTCAAAAAGCATGGGGCCAGACCATGGTAATGGGTGGATATATTGCCCATCACCAAGTCCACACGATTTTCCAAGCGTTACCCAGGCAAGTTCCTCCCGATCACATGTGCCACCCATGGCCACTAGGTAGGTAGGGTCTAGGGTTCAGAACTTTGCATTGAAGTCTCAGATTTGTTTTCTAAACAAATCTCTGCAGACTTTGTGGACCTTTTTTCCGTTGCGGCCTATTATGGGGCATGAGATCTGCTGGAAAAAAATCGGCGGAAAATTGAGATCCTGTGACCCAGAACCGATTGCAAAAAAATTTGCGGACTTTAGTTTTCTGTTTTTCAGCGGAACTCCACTACACAAATTGTGTATATACCTGACTTCTGCTGTTCTTTTTGTTCGGCGGACCTTAGTATTCAGACCTATGGTTCGGCGGAATTCATCTTCTGGTTTTGTGTAGTGGACTTCTGCTGATTCAATGGTTTTCCCCAGGATTTCTGCTGATTTTTTTTTCTTCGGCGGAACTCAACATCACAAAATGTGCGCCTGAGTTCTGCTGATCTTGGATTTTTCGGCGGAATCCATAAATCTGGTGATGCATGACTACCCATGATTCCCTGCTGCATTTTCATTTCCCAATGCGAAATTTAACCTGTACCAGCCGCAATGGCAAATGATCTAGGATCCTGACTTTGAGGACCTTGGTGTTTTAAAATCGGTCTACCTTCGTCTGACCATGAAAATGGATTAACGCTTCTTGCTCGCGTGGGTATTTGGAATGTGAACAATGTTATGCTGGGTACATGAAAATTGTATGCAGAACAGAACATACATAGCTATGTTCAAGATAAATCACAGAGATATAATTAGATATGTGGAACATAAAGTAAGTCGCTGTATATTTAATTTTGTGCATATTGTAGTGTATTATCTATATGACTATACGTGGTTATAATTATGCATTGGTGTCATTCAAAATCCTTTGGCTAATAAATAGAAATTATATATCTGCTGGCAATGGTTTTTGCCATTTTCAAGTTTTCCATCAGATATTTCAAACTGAGTCCTGGCTAATGTCAATATTGACCCTAGCTGGTAACATGGTGAAATAATAAAAGAGGCCATGTGTTTGAGGCTTTAAATCAGGTTGCTACAAAATGAATGTGAAACTATATGTACAGTTCTTTAGTATATAGACACTTTGGTCCTGATTAGGGTGTCTCTTCAGGCAGCAAATTGTGCTTCACCTTGGCTGAATATAATTTCAAAGGAAGGCGCTTATCAGGGAACTTTTTCGCCAAGCGCGTTTTAATTGATGTTTGTATTGGGGCGGCGCTCCAGATTGGACATGATTGGACAATTGACTTCTCAGTGAAAGAATTTTATTCTTATTAATATTATTAGGAATCTCTTCGGCGAGCACATGTTGATTTACCTTCGTATGTTGATGTTGCTGATTAACTTTGCATGGTTTTGGTCCAAGTGCTGCTTTCAGATTCCAGGTCCGGGTGTGCGCGGACATCTCCTGTATAACAAATGTCGCACTTGTACTAATTAACAACATACAGTCTTACTCCCCAGGGAGTTCTAACTATGGGGAGCACTAGGATATGAAGAAATACATGGTTCAATTCAGACCTAACAGTGATGTCCCCAAATCAAAGTCAGCTACCCCATAATCGACTGCAAAAGTTTAAGGCACCTTCCTAAAAACGCCTGTTTCTACTACCAGTCATCACTGACAAATGGGAACTTACATCAGACATGCAATGAAATACATGGGACACAATTCGGAACTCATCAATGTCATATTCTCCGACAAAATAGCCAGGGTATGGTTCTTGGAGTTCTTGGTGTCTGGTTGCTCCTGCCATTGGCTGAGCATGCCGTCTGGAGCTACAGTGGTGCGTTCGATCCACGGCCTTGCCGCTTGGCAACCATCATCATCGTCACATGGCCTGGTGAGGCAAGCCGCTGCTCTTGCCGTGGCAAAATGTTGAAACATTTTGCTGACTTAACAAGTGGATACAGAACATGATGTCATTATTTGTCCATTGATCCATCGCAACTCCCGATCGCCCCAATGTGGAAAGAGAACCTGACGCAACCCGGGTGTTGTGAAATCATGACGCACTTCAAATCAACGGTAACTACTTCCAAATATACGGATTTTTAAATATACGAACTGGTATTTTAGACTACCTCCGGGGGAGGT